TTCTTCTTCTTCTTCATCTTCTTCTTCTTCTATATTATATCTCTTCTAGTTCTAATTATAGCTATAAATATGGCTGTCTTGATCAAAGTACATGTAGTGTGAGTAACATGGACTGGCGGGGGAGAAAGACGACGTATAACGAATAACAGGAGATACGACTGCTGCACGGTGATGGCATCCTGAATGGCGYGAGACCGATTCATCTCTCTCATACGAATAAGTTTTAGTTGAGCTGAGCTCCGAGTTTAGCTCCATCTGTGATCTCATTTTTCTTTTGCCCTTGGATCGTCTGTTTGAGAACCAGACCTAGAATGGCATAAAATGAATCCGTTGTTAAATTTGGTTCAATCCTTTGGATCAGCACTGAGGTAGTCCGAGTGCACATGAACTATGGCTAAAACATCAGTCAAGAGCCCAAGTAAAAAATGCAGTTCTTTGGATTGAAATCTCGTGAGCGCATATGACTGGCATTTTTAACTGTGAGCAAAAAAGCTTTGAAAACTGGCTTGTTAAAAGCATTAAAAACCTCGACGCAAACACAAGCACGAAAGACCAGCAGACCTCTTTATCTCGGGCGAAATGATTTCCCATTTCAGATCACGTGTCATTCTCAAGACAATAAGATTCTTTGTTTGAGTTTCATATCCATATGACCATTTTCTCATGTGCAACTATTAAAGAAAGAAATTATATTCCAGGGAATGACACGTGGTCTGAGTGGGAAAACAATACTGACGCTAAGATAAAGAGGTCTATAGACACCTTACAGCACGTCGGAATGCATGGAGGACATAACAATAGGTTTTCAATTCTGAGGAGATTGAAATTCTTGCATTTTGTCCTCCAAGTTGAGCTGCTTTGACCGTCACACAAATGCAAGGGGTCTATTCTTCTAGACTGGCCTTGAAGCACAAACTTTATTAAAGTTCAGTGTCGTACCTGTATTCTTGATTCTGGTACTTTTAGCAGTTTGGCCAACGCCTCTCTTGTCGTGATGTCAGGGTAATGCGTTTCATCGTAGGTGCGCTCAAGCTCCTCCAGTTGCTTCTTGGAGAACTTAGTTCTGTTTCTTCTCYGATAATGAATCAAAGGCTTCTTGGGGAGATTATTTTGGGTAAAATGACCGTATTCTCCGCCGTCGCCTGGAAACTTGCTGTGGAATGAGCCTATGAATAATAAGATCATATGGTTAACCAATGAATGAATGCCACGAAGGGGAAGAGAAGTTAAGCAGCATCTTTAGCAACAAGAAGTATAATAAGGGATGCAAAGAATAATAATCTAAAAAAAACTAGCATATAATAAAGTATGTATAAGAAGTACTTCTAGTCAGAAATTAGTAGGGTACTGATAAGAATAATCCATTTCACAGTTCCGTTCAGTGATCACGATCGCGCATGATACATAGTTTTGCTATTCTCGACTTTCACGTCCCCATAATCCTTTGCGTCTTTGGGGGGGTAACCAGAGGGTAAAAACCCACTTATTTTGCTGAAGGCTGATCAGACAATGTTGAAAATACTTTGTTTGGCATCCAAAGATAAAATGAAGAAGTAAAAAACAGAAAAAGATAGAAGACGTTTAAGGTAAATTTTAAACATTTTTTCGTAARTCAATACATTTTCTGTAAGACCAAAACTCTTCATGATCTGTACACGCAAAAATAACTTGGAATAAACTGATAATCATCAGTATTGTACAGATAAAAGCAGGTATAGTATAAATTCAATTAAGAAACCTTTCAATTTGGGACAGGTTTTTTGATTGATTGACCCCCCAAAGACGCAAGGCATTATGGGGATGTGAAAGTCGAGAATGCGCGGCAACTCCAACCTCGACTTCAAACTATTATTTGTTGTCACTGAAGGGGACTGTAAAATAGAGTATTATTAATCCTACCCTAAAAATAATACATTAATGCCGTCCACCTCCATAGCTAATTATGCGATTTTTTTTTTACTATACATTTTTTTTAATTATCTCATTCTGTTATTTCATATATAT